ATTATAAAAGCCATATACAACAAACCCACAGCCAGCATCATATTGAATGGGGAAAAATTGAAAGCATTCCTGTTTAGAACTGGAACCAGACAAGGTTGCACACTGTCACCACTTCTATTCAACATAGTGCTGGAAGTCCTAGTCAGAGCAATCAGGCAGGAGAAAGAAATTAAGCGTATCTCAATGGGGGAAGAAGAGGTCAAACTATCATTCTTTGCTGACTATATGATCTTATATCTAGAAAACCCCGAAGGTTCTGCCCAGAGACTCCTGGAATTGATAAATAAATTCAGCAAAGTCTCAAGTTACAAAATCAATGTGCACAAATCAGGAGTATTCCTTTACACGAACAGTCAAGCTGAGAAGAAAATCAAAGACTCAATACCTTTCAAAATAGCAACAAAAAAAATAAAATACCTCTGAATATATTTAACCAAGGAGGGGAAAGACCTCTATAGGAGAACTACAAAACACTGAGGAAGGAAATTGCAGGGGTTGTAAACAAATGGAACAACATATCGTGCTCACGAATGAGCAGAATCAACATTGTTCAAATGTCTATATTACCCAAGTGATTTAAAGATTAACTGAAATCCTGATTAAAATACCAATGTAATTTTTCACAGATCTAGAAAAAATGTCTCTGCTTTGTATGGAACCAGAAAAGACCCTGAATAGCCAAAGCAACCTTAAACAGAAAGAATAAAATGGGAGGCATCGCTTTACCTAACTTCAAGCTGTACTACAAGGCTACAGTAACCAAAACAGCATGATGCTAGCACAAGAACAGAGACATAGACTAATGGAACAGAATAGAGAATCCAGATATAAAACTATCCTCATATTGCCATCTGATATTTGACAAGGCAAACAAAAACATACCCTCAGGAAAAGAATCCCTATTCAATAAATGGTGCTAGGAAAATTGGATAGTCACATTTAGAGGACTGAAACAGGAGCCACACCTCTCACCAGTCACAAATATTAATTCATGATGGATAACAGATTTAAATCTAAGGCATGAGACTATAACAATCCTAGAAGAAAATGTTGGAAAAATTCTTATAAATATCAGTTTAGGCAAAGAATTTATGAAGACGACCCCAAAGGCAATCACAGCAATAACAAAAATAAATAAATGGGACCTATTAAATTCAAAAGCTTTTGCACAGCCAAGGAAATAAGCAATAGAGCAAATAGACAACCTACAGAATGGAAGAAAATATTTGCATGCTATATATCTGATAAAGGGCTAATAACCAGAATTTACAAAGAACTCAAACAAATCAACAAGAAAAATTCAAACCACCCCATTAGAAGGTGGGCAAAAGACATGAACAGCAACTTTTCAAAAGAAGATATAGACTAATGGCCAGTAAACATATGACAAAATGCTCAACATCTCTAATGATCAGAGAAAGGCAAATCAAAACCATAATGAGATATCACTTAACTCCAGTGAGAATGGCTTTTATCAAAAAGTCCCAAAACAACATATGCTGGCATGGATACAGAGAGGAAGGAACACTTATACACCATTGGTGGGACTACAAACTAGTACAACCTCTATGGAAAATAGTATGGAGATACCTGAAAGAACTAAAAGTAGACCTACCATTTGATCTAGCAATCCCATTATTGGATATTTATGCAAAGTAAAAAAAAGTCATTTTATCAAAAAGACACCTTCACTGAAATATTTATAACAGCACAATTCACAATTGCAAGGATGTGGAATCAAATGAAGTGCCCATCAATACATGGGTAGATTAATAAAATGTGGTATATAGCATGGAGTACTGCTCAGAAATAATAAAAAAAAAATGTTAACTAATACCTTTTGTAACAACCTGGATGGAACTGGAGACCACTCTTCTACGTGAAATATCACAAGAGTGGAAAAACAAACACCACATGTACACAGTTGGAACTAGTCGATTAACACTCATGTGCACTAGTAAAACTCAACAGAAATCAAGCAGGTGGGGGGGGGAGGAGGAGATGGGCAAATGCACACCTAACAGATACAATGCACACTATGTGGGTGATGGGCACACTTGTAACTTGTATTCAAATTGTACAAAAGCAATTCATGCAACCAAAATGTTTGTACCCCCTTAATATTCTGAAATTAAAAAAAAAATATGAAGTTATAATCACAAGACATTAGAAGATACAGCATCAGATCAAAGTTAAGGATCATTAAACCTTATCTGAAGCAGAAAGTATCACATGTGATGAAAGATACATATCTCCCCCTTTTAGAATACATATTCATTCATTTAATAAATGTTTAGAAATTTAAAAAATAAATACTTGGAACTTATGACAAAGGAAAAATATCTTTGTATATAAACCAAAAGAAGAATAAATCAATAAAAAGAATATTCAAAATTTTTAAATGGACAAAAGGTAACGGCAATTAAAAAACAAAAAAGCTGGGCATAGTCACATGTATGCCTGTAGTCCCAGCTATTTGGGAGGCTGAGGCAGGAGGATCTCTTGAGTCCAGGAGTTCAAGGCCAGGCTGGGTAACATAGTGAGAGACCCCCATCTCAAACTAACAAACTTACTTTACCCCCATTAATGATAAAAGAAAAAAAAGTAAAACTGCCTATCAAATTGACATCATAGGTTCTGGGCATGGTTAAAGAGGATTCTATGCACTGCTAATGGCAGTGAAAACTGAGTTAGCCTTTCTGAAGAGTGATTTAGCAAAACTTTATACAAATAAAAAAAAACAGCAAAAATTCATGCAAAACAAACCCAAGTTCTGAGTCCCTAGGCATTGTTCTCATTTGGAAGTATACAGAAGGGAATGTGTACAGAAGGTCTCTCTCATAGGCTTTATTTTAGTCAAGTAAATGAAGATGATTTCAGGTAGAAACCAAGGCTACCAATGAAATAGCCATCATAATAGATAATGACTGTGGGAAGGACTGGATTGTGCTATTATACTTTAGACTGATAAACCCTCTTTAGGAGTGACCATTCCCCTCAATCACTTATTTATTAAGTGCTTTCTATGTGTCAGGCACTGTTCTAGGCCCTGGAGCTTCTCGAGTAAAGAGACAAAAGTTCCAGCCCTTGTGAAGCTCACATTCAATAGGGAAGATATGGACAAACCATAATCATGGAAACAAAAATCATAATGTGTACAGTAAATGCTCTAAAAACAGGAGGCTGAGAAGTATGGAGGCAGCAGGTGAGGCAACTTGTATCAGTTTTATTAAGAAGTTAACATTCTATTCTGGGCATGGTGGCTCACGCCTATAATCCTAGCACTTTGGGAGGCAGGAGGATTGCCTGAGGCCAGGAATTCGAGCCACCATCTCTCCAAAAAAAAAAAATAGAAAAAACTAGCTAGGCATGGTGGCACATGCCTGTAGTCCCAGCTACTCGGGAGGCTGGGGCAGGAGGATCACTTGAGCCCAGGAGTTTGAGGTTGCTGTGAGCTCTGATGACGCCACTGCACTCTATCCCAGGCACAGAGCAATACTCTATCTCAAAAAGAAAAAAAAAAAGGAAAAGAAAGGGTAACATTTTAGTTAAGAATCAAGGGAGGTGAGGGACAAGGATGAGAAGGAGCTCTTCAAGTGTTGGGAGTAGACAGACAATGGCCCTGAGGTTGGAATAAAAAGTACCAGGAGCCTGTGAGCTGGAAGAGAGGGAGGTGAAAAAGTCTTCCAGGGAGGTTGAATTTTATTCCAGCTGCAAGGTGAAGCCCTAGAGCAGTTTTAATCAATGAGGGTGGGGGAGGTGATCTGATTATTGGGGGAAATGTGCCGAGTGGATAGGCTGGTTAATAGTTTTTTCTGTGATCTAAATGAAATTGTACTTATAAAGAAAGATTCTTTAAACAAGTGTTTGTGCCTTCTAACCCAATGATTTTATCTTTCAGAATCTATCCAAAGAAAACAACTTCACCCTCAAAGCAGATTTCTTGGCCTCTATTATATGCATTTCAGAATCAAGCATGAGCATGTACCACACACACTCTCACAATGACATGCACCGACTCGTTTTCTTTCCAGGTTTGCCCCATTGACCAAATTATTTCTATCACTTTCCTACCTCCCACCTTACAGAGAGCCAAAAAGCTCTCATTACACCTATACAAACGGGAGGTGGCAAGTTTGTATTGTTGCACAAAAACAGGTTTGCCTGTGCATGAAATGAAGAATGAGGGCTGCCATATTTGTAGCAAATCTTTTTAATCCTACCACTTTAAAAGCCTTTAATGTATTTTGCTTTATATTTTCATCTATCTCCCTCCCCTAACCCTGCTCTATTTTTAACCATCTTCCAACCTCCTCCTCTTCTACCCTATAATGCTCTTCTAGCATCCTGGCATGGTTCAGGTATGTTTGAAGAAGGTCGACCCTCTTATCTTGCCCTCTCCCTCCCAAACACACACACACGCTCCACCTTTAGTATATCTGCTTTGTGAATTCAAATTTTGAAAATACTAAGGGTGCACAGGGGTGGAAAGGCATGCCTATTATATGAATCAACATTGAGATGGTATTATTACCAAGTCACTCTTGATCATAAGCTGCCTACACAGAAAGGCTCCTAGCACAAAGTTTACATGCCGGGACGGATTACCTGTCATCCTTCTCCCACTGTGGCTTTCTTCATAATTGGTCAGAACTGAGGTTCCACACACCCGAGACCCGGGAAATGACAGATACTCAATGGTAAATTTTGCCATCCTGCTTCGTGAAACTCTGAGCACCCAAGAACATTCCAGTTTTCCTCTGTAATCCAGGTGATATCTTAGAGTTGAAAAAAAGCCTCTGGGCTCTTCTAGCTCCACTTCAGAGCAACAGCCTACAATTCAGAACACAGAGACACCAAGGAGCAACATAAATAAGGCAAAGAAAAATGAGGTTCTAACATAAGCTTGAAAAACTTAGGCTTATAAGAAGAAAATTAAGACTTTATTACTATCAGTTATAAGTTCTGGTGTTAAAATAGTAATCATTCTATTTAATGTGTCCTATTTTCTTGAAACAAGACTGCAGGGGTAGGATTTAAATCACATTTAAAATTAATTTTAACTGAATTTTTAAAATATTTTAGAAAATACACCGTGGGTTTCAATCCCTATTCCCAACAGGTTTCTATTTCTTTCCTTCTTTGAAATGCAACTAACGACCTGTTCCTAAAAGCTTTGCTAAATTAGATGAATATTCATCTTGCATGGACAGATGATTATATTCACAGAGCCTGTGACTGAGGTCAAGAAAAAGAGGATTTGCTGAATATACTGAGACGTGTCTTACTTCAACTTGCTACATCCATGGCCACTTTGGATGTGCAGGGTTACCTGCGGTGGTTCAGATGCCTGTAGCTATCTGGCCCACGGACCATGCATTCAGCTTCTCTTTTTTCTGATATCGTCATTCAGGATTCATCTTTGATTCTCCTTTTTTTCCTCATGTTTATTACTTTGACAAAAACTTTCTGAGCAATTATAAAATGAAATATTCTGTAATGTATTCATATTTTAATATATGTATTAATGAATATGCACATTATTATGCATGCTTTACTCTAGAGAAATTAACAATCTAGCCAAGGAGATAGGTAAGTAAACATACTTTTATAATATGAACAGTAAGACGAAAAGTGGCATGAGGGAAATGAAGTGCTACAAGAATTCGGGATTCTACTCCATGGCCTAGTCCTCTGTTATTTCTTTGTGATTTCTCTTCTTTATTTATATAGCTAACACAATCTAATCAGATATTTACCAGATCTGTTTCAATTTAGCGATAAACTAAATGATCTCCCTCAGTTCTATAATCTTCCCTCACCATGCCCTCCAATCTGGGAATGGCGTATAAAATGAAAGAATTAAGTTCTTTTCCTGCTCAAAGCAACTATAGTAGCGCAGCTTGCAGGATATTTTGGACTCTGGTCCCAACATATCTTTCCAATCTTCTCAATCTTTTTCCCTCTGTATATGAACCCTCTATGACAAACTCACCTAGAAAGGCAGCTTGGTACGAAAATCATATAGAGCCATGAATTCCCAACAAGTCATTGCTTTTTACAAGTAGGTGTAACAATCTCAAAAAACATTGGTAAGATTCATTAATTGCCTAGTGTAAAAAGCAGGTGATGGGAGTGCATGAGTATGAAACATGACATTGTCCTAACATTTTGTCTCAATAAAATAATCACAGAAAACAAAACAAATTTTACATCCTTTCGGATATAAAATTTTCAAAGTTCTTTGGCAAGCCTAGGTGTTTCTGAACATATACAAAGGAGAACGATCTTCTTTACATTTGAACAATGTTAATTTTTTAATAGCTGAATGGGACCAGTCAAAGAATACATTAGACAGCCACTATCACCACCACTCATTGACCCTTATCATGGACCAGACCCAGCCCGTTCTCAGTACTTTTCTTGTATTGACTTTCTTAGGCACTCGTTGAAATCATTCATTTAACTCAGACCGTTGTAATCAGAAGTTTTGAGGATCTTGGACCGAAGTCTGCTCTCCATGTCAATCCCAATTCTAGATTTACTTTTAACCTGAATCTACACATCCCCAGCTTTGCCTCTTATGCTGTCAGACAGGTGGTTCTGGGTCACTCCTCATTCCTGGAAGATTTTAGTGGTCATTTTCTCCAACTCTATTCCTGTCATAATTCTTATTGATTTCAGTAGCTGTACAGATGGTGATTCCAGCACTGAAGTTTCTTAGTTCCCCAACTTTCCTCCCATGTTCTTGTCCTCCCCCTGACCTCAGCCACTCATGCCAATGGTCAGCACCCTAGATACTTGCTCAACAGCAGTAACTTTAGGCCTCCCATAATCTTAGTTTCAAGCACCACTCTCTCCAATCACAACCTCCCATCTTGTGAGCTTCCCTCAACCCTTATTTCACCATTTGAGACTTGTGATTCATCTATCCTATCACCTTTCTTTTTCTCAAACTCATCTCTCACCCTCATTTCACTCCTTATGTATCATAAATTCCAATGACCAATCAGTTTAATCACTTCTTCATACACACTCTGAACTCCCTTATACTCTCACATACATGGGAATACCCCACTCTGATTAAATGTACTCTCCACCTGCTCCGGGTCTACCTTAGTGTTACCAGAGAAAAACATACAACTGAACTAACTGGGAACTCTCTCTAAATTCATGATCATTTATCTCAGGGAGCCTTTATGCTGCCCAGCAATCCTACTATATCTTCCTAGTCTAGTCACTATGTCAGTTTTCCAAAGAAATATTTGATACTTTATTTTCTCTTAAAAATAAAACTTTCTTATCCAACCCCTTCATTCATCTGCTGAGAAAACAGAAGCAACCAGAAGTTCTATAAGCTCCCATCCCCACGAGTATCCATACACCTGCACCGGTGCCTAACCATTCTGCCTTTCATTCAGCAGCCATGGATGAAGTGTACCTTGCTCCTGTTTAAGACCAATCCCTTCTGTTGGGCACGAGAGCCCATCCCCTTTCTCCTACTCAAGGACATGACTCTAGCAATTCTACCTTTTATGTCTTATATCTTCTTCAATTTTCTTTCAATTCTTCCTACTTGGGTCCACTGGGGTTAGGCACATGGGTGGCGATGGGGCCGAGGTGGGTGACCAGGGAAAGACTCTGACCATTTGGAAACCAAGAGTGATGGTATCATAGAACTTTCATCTTCCTACAAGGCTGTTACAAACTTCTAATTCTCTTATTGCTGTTAGCTTTTGAATAAAAGTCAAAATCCTGTTACCAAACAGACACTGGCAATTGTGGGAGAATTGAGAGAGATACTGATGCTGGTCTTAGTCATCTCATACCCATAGTCTTTACCTAGCAAAACAGCTGAATGTTGAAGGACACTTGTTCAGGTAGGAGTTAATAGCTCAGAGTTTAAAACAATTCTATGGACTTCTCCAGTATTCAAGCACTTGTTCACAATCACAAGATTTTTACCTGAAACATCTGTACCTACAGGGTAGAAAAGATCCCAAGACAACTGCAGTAACTACTCTTGTTGCTTTCAGAATAAGCTACCACCAGAAGGAATACACAGAGTTTATAGCATTTCGAAGAAAACAAGTGAGCCCGCATATATAGTGCTTTTTGCTAAATTCTTGCTGACTATATTAATGGGATAATGTGAACATTTCTTACCTGGCCCAGATACACTGTCTGTTGAAGGTGTGAGTGATGGCAATTGTTCTAAGCTTTTGCTTTTATTTTTTGTCTGAAGTGAAGCAGGACCTGTATTTGGGGAGAACATGTTAAAAACAAAGATGAAAGCCTCAGGACAAAATGTAGTCTGTACCAAAGCAGCACTGCCAAAAGGAAACACAAATCCAGGATTAAAGCAGCCTCAGGAAAAATTGGTTTTATCCTAACTTTGCCCAAGGGAGGAGTTATTCTTATAGAGACTTGCATTTTAATGTATTTAGAAACTAAGTGAAATTCTACTCTATGATTTTCTTTTATAATGCTCATTTGTATCATATTCACTGCTCTTAAACCCACTCTAAAGAAAGAGGCACTGTTTTCATAATATTTGAAAACAACTTACCTTTGATTTTGGATTGGATCCAGTCCAAGAAGACCCTCACCCTGGCAAATACACCTGGCTTCCATGGCCGGACACAGCCAGCTCCCCAGCTGACAATGCCATACAGGACAAAGGGACCATTCTCATGTCTACATACCAATGGACCACCGGAGTCCCCCTGAAACAAGAAAACGTGTTCTAGAAAATTGCTTTAATTTAAAGCCCCTGCATTCAAATGTTGTAAAGGAATGACCAATAGTTTATTTATAAAGTGTTTAATTTGGATATTTGTTCTTTGTCGATCTGTATACTTTAGATATTAATACGTAACTGTATATTCTCTTTTTCACAGAAGGGAACAAAATTTAAGGACAATCAGGTGATAATTTGATCCCAGGGTTTAGTTAAAACCTAGTTCACATAATAACAATTACTAAGTCTTCCCAGCCCCATCGGAGGGGCACCTTCTTTAAATGATATCACCAATTAGTGAAACTGTAACATTTAAGATTTCAAACTGTATCTTTTTAAAATCAAAATTTAATTAGAAAACTGCACAGTGGATCTCAAACTGATCCATCTTCAGAAATGGGCTACCTGTCCCATTAAGGTAATTGAGTTAGGATCATTGGGTGCCAGCCTCTATAAGTAGTGTTTTCCCTGTCACTGGACACTCTTAACACAATCTATTCAGATCAATCTAAAAGCAGAATTATGACATATGCAGAGAAATTAGAACATAATGTTAGAGGTAGAGTGAAGAAAAAAATTAAAGACTGTCTAAATAGCTATTAAAATGCATTTGTTCTAATTCTAGTATAATTTTATTCAGCTTACCTAAAGATTTCGAAGTTACAAAATTTCAGAGATTTTAAGGACTGAGCTAATCACTAGGCTATCAGAGGCAGAAACTTACACTTAGAGAAATAAGTGATCTGTCCCATTTTGCACACATAGGTAGCAGCAGCGGCAGAATCTGAGCCCACATCAGCTGCCAGAGTCCAGCTCTTTCCTCTCCAGCAGGTTGATGAGTGCTCATTAATGGAGCCACCTCAGGCAGCTCTAGTATCTGGTTTACATGATTACAGCACTCAAGACTCATAGACATTTAACTTATTTTCACTGCTTTAGATATTGCTATTTCGGTCATGATTGGAGTGAACACAGTTCAAAAGGCAAAAATACCACCCCAAAGCATCATGGGCTCATATAGATAGAAAGTTCTCTCAATTTTCCTCAAAATACTTGCTTTGTTTAAATTAACAAATTATAAGTAGAAGGGGAGATTTTCAAGGAAACAGTGATTTTTTTTATTTGTATAAATTTAAAGGGTACAAGTGCAGTTTTGTTATACAGATATATCGCACGATGGTGAAGTCTGGGCTTTTAGTGTAACCATCACCTGAATTATGTACACAGTATCCATTAAGTGATTTCTCATCACTTGCCCCTTCCCATTGTCCCCCTCCTCCGAATCTCCAATGTCTCTTATTCCACATTCTATGTCCGTGCATACACATTACTTAGCTCACACTTGTAAGTAAGAACATGTGGTATTTGACTTTTTGCGTCTGAGTTGTTTCACTTAAGATAATGGCCTCCAGTTCCATCCGTGTTGCTGCAAAAAACGTTCCATTCTTTTCCATGGCTGAGCAGTATTCCATCACATATATACACCACATTTTCTCCATTCATCTGTTGATGAACACGTGGGTTGATTCCTATCTTTGCTATCGTGAACAGTGCTGAGATTAACATACGAGTGCATCAAGGGCCCAAAATACGTACGTCACACATATTTATCTATTAATTAGGACTAACATCTTACACATGTCTCCTCAGGTTCAGTGTGATAATTGATGCACTTGCTTATGTGTATTTCTATTTCCATCATGTGCTCTTCGTACCCCAGGAGGCCTAGCACAACACCTGGCACACGATAGATGCTTAAGAAATGTTTGCTTAATTTATGGTGAAGTGCTCTAAATTAGATGTATCAAAAACAAGCCTTAAAACACATGATTTTCATTTTTTAAGGCAGTCTTTCCAATTTTTAATCAAGTCTTTTAGGGGATAGACACAAATGTATTTAGGACCAAACTAAATCCTTTATTTGCCTTCCTATAAAATAAATTAAGCTGATGGTACATACCTGAGATATCTATTTTATATGAAGAATTTCACAGAAGGAACTCTAAATTGGGAATAAAGAGATAGAGTCCCTAGTCTTTAAAGTAGAAAAATTAACATTTCTCTGGGCCTCATTTTTTTCACATAAAGATTATACTTAAGACCCCCTTCTAGTCTGAAAATGGTTTGATGTGTCCAGTCAGGTTTTTTATCTTAAATCATTCTTTCAGTACCAACACATAGACAATACATAATTTTTCAGGCAATTACAAACATTTGATGATACAGGGAACCTGTCTAATTTATTTTATTGCTGGTTCTATCCTAGGATCTAGAACATGGTAAATAATATTCAATAAACAAATGAACATTTTATCCAGTGCTGTGAGCCAGGCATACTGAACAAGACAGAGTATAAACAAATAAGATGGTGGTAGTAGCTCTAAAGGAAATGGAGTGAACAGCAGAAAATAAAGGTAGGTAAATGTGTGCGCTTACATGTGCACGCACGTGTACGCAGTTTCAGCATCTGAGCTGATACATGAAGGATGAGGAGGAGTCAGATTTTCAAAAACCTGGAGGAAGAGCATTTTATGCAAAAATATATATCTGGGTTAAGGCCCTAGGACAGAGAAGACGTGGCAGGTTGGGAGGTTAGAAGGCAATCCATGTGGCTGAAACATAGTAAGCAAGGAGGAGAAAAGTATGAAATAAATGGAAAGTTAGCAGAATAGGACACACATCACTGTGAGGATACAGATCTATCACTTTGTACGTCAAAAGAACTTCGAATAAAAAAAACCTAGGCCGGGCGCGGTGGCTCGCGCCTGTAATCCTAGCTCTCTGGGAGGCCGAGGCGGGCGGATTGTTTGAGCAAGAGCCAGCCTGAGCAAGAGCGAGACCCCGTCTCTACCAAAAATAGAAAGAAATTAATCGGACAACTAAAAATATATAGAAAAAATTAGCCGGGCATGGTGGCACATGCCTGTAGTCCCAGCTACTCGGGAGGCTGAGGCAGAAGGATTGCTTGAGCCCAGGAGTTTGAGGTTGCTGTGAGCTAGGCTGATGCCACGGCACTCACTCTAGCTCGGGCAACAAAAGCGAGACTCTGTCTCAAAAAAAAAAAAAAAAAACCTAAAATCCACTGCGCAAAGAACAGGATTCCACATTGCATATCTGAAACCCCCATGTCTCCACACTCCAACATTGTTATGTTTACCTTCCTGGATGAGGAATTACATTAGTACGTCTGTTACCTTTGAACAGACACAGGAGAATAAAAATCAGTTACCTGTTAGAAAAAGTCCACTTTTATTAAAGCGAGTTTTTAAAGTCACCCTTTCAGTAATTCAGTGTTCTTCATAAAAGAAAGCTAACTATATTTATTGGAATCTCAACTCTTATTTTTCTTCCCATATATTGGCAGTATTCAGTCATGCTGCAGCCAAAGTGACAGCTGTACACAGCTGAAGTTAAGTGCCAACCGAGATAATGGTATTTGGGCCTCCTATGACAGGGACCTCTCTAAACTTCTCTCTAGTTCTTTTGTTGCTTTGACACAAAATAAGATTGTCCCATGATGTTAGATGCTGTCAAATATGACAAAGACAACAGACCCACTTGTGATTTCCTTGATTCAAAGCAGAAAGAAAAACCATCCCTCAAATTCTACAATAAACTAATGGAGAGGATGAATGCATTAATTAACAGTACTTTTCTACCTGATTTTATAAGATACCATTTAAGTATCTAGCAGACAGTGTGTGCACCCTTCCCACATTCCTCATATCTTCCAGTACCTATGGTGTCTCTGGGCCTGAGGGCTGTTCCCTCTCTCCTCTCCACCCGACCCAGGAGACAGCCCCAAAATGTGGGAAACACTGAGGAATTAACATCCCCCTCCCACAGCAGCCCCCAAACTATGACTTTTGGGAAGTAGTGTACAAACACCCCAGCTCCCTCACCTTCAGATGGATAAACATATGTGTATTTCGCATCACTGCTGAGGTTTCCCTGCAGGATGAAGCTTTAGTCCCTCACTGTGGTAGCTGTCTTAATAGCACACCTAGATTGGCTGCCATCCCTTCCCTGGACCATCTCCTCACTTTCCTACCAGTGATGTCTACGCATCCTAAAAGAGATCATTACACTTGAATCCTTGTCTCAAGAGTCTGCTTCTGGGGACTACAAATTAAGATATGTAAAATCAAAACAGAATTTAAGTAGCACTCGACACCATGAAAGGAAGGGTTTAATTACAATAAACTTATATTCAGTGTTAAGGGGGGGGACCTCATTCCTTCTCTCTTCATGTTTTCACATGGAAGGACTTTCCACCTAGATGACGCCCAGTTGCTTCTCCCCATGGAGGTGGCATCCATTGGTTCATGTTTCTTGACTGAGTGGTGGGGAAAACTGTCAAAAAGTTGCAAAGACTAGAGATTCATTCTTTCTTCCCCCTCTACCCCAGACTAATGTAAATAAGTCAGAAGAAGTGGGTCTGCCCTACAGACCCAAACTTTCCCTTAGGTGGGCTGCCCCAGATTCCCCATTGGAGGTGAACATATAGAGTGTTTGAAACTCTTTAGATTGTATATGTAAAGTCACATCCCTCAATTGACTCTGAATATTAAAGCTAGTATTCTGCAATCCATTCGTCCACATTCTGTTTTATCTTAGTTGATTCTGAACTTGCCAATAGCAAGCTTGCCCAACTGACATCTTTGTGACTATTTTAATCTGTGATGGAAAATTAAGTGAGACTACACAGGAGATTAGTAATAATTTAAAACAAGAAAACTTTTAAGTCATAAGTAGAATATATAAGTCTAGAACCTTCACTTGTTTTCCTTTCCCAAAGGCTTAACCATCTCTGAACACATCTCCCCACCCCAGGCATGGCTAGGATGCTGCCATCCCACCTTCTCACGGGCTTCTGTGTGCCCACTGGCTGTACATCTGCTTCTTGCCACTCTGCCATCTCAGCAAGTTTCGATTAAGTGACTTACTCTTCCTCTTATCCTACCGGCTCTCATGCTGAAATGTGGTATGATGTTTGAGGAACAGGCCAGGTTGGACGCAGTCTCTTTGAGAGTGGTTTCCTTCTGCGTAAGGAGACTCTTCAGCAAAAGGCAATTTTCTACTTTCCTGTACAAAATCAGAATCCTCTCACCTGGCAGAAATCTTTCCCTTCAGATGCAGCAAAGCCAGCACACATCATCTTCTCTGTGATCCCTCCGGGGTGCTCAGAATAGTAAGTGTGTTCACAGACCTCTCTTTCTAACACAGACACTTGAATTTGCTGTAAGCGATGTGCTAGGCCACCATCTAAGTAAGAAACAGATTCAGAAAGGGAGAGCTCAACGATGAAGTAAGCAGTAAGTGCTGTTAAAGAAATGTATTTAAGTGCAGACTGGCTCCATATCAACATAATTGCGGTCATTCAATTTGCCTGCACTGATGTGGAATATTGGAGCAGGGGGGAAATATAAGCATTTCATGTACCATGTCTTCATTTCCAAATTTGGCATCTTTACCATTGACAGGCAAACAAGACCAAAAACACTTTTTTCAAGCTTATTTACAATTTAAATTTTGGCACATAAAATATTGCTGCATTAGAATTCAGAAATAGAAATTCAACAAAATATGAATTAGTGTTATATATGTTTTATGATTATAAGTAAATATGGTTACATATTTATGCATATAAATATATTATTTAAATATATTATTATAAATATAACATATGCTTGCTTGATTTCCTAATATAAACCGAAATCTTATTCCACTTTTTTCTTCTACCATCACTGAAGCTTAATCTGACCTTCAATTTAAGGTAACATTAAAAAATTTCCTCTCATACTTGACCCTCAGGCAGGTCCATGCTAACTTGTATTCTGCATGACTTATTCTATCGTTTTAGATTTATGGCTAATTTTTTAAAAGTTGAGCATTTTATAGCCCTATACCTTTTGGGGCCATATTAATAAAAATTACTCTACATTTATATAGCAGCCTAATATTTACAAAGTCCTTTACTCCAACGTAATGCGACAACATCGTGAGGCAGACTAATCACACTAATCTCACACGTGGAAAAGCCAGACCTTTGAAAATTTGATCTCATAGCTCTTACAGAACAGAACCAGGAGTCAAGCCCAGGCCCAACTCTAAATCTTGCATTCTTTTTAATGTACTAAAAATTCTCTTTACAGGGTCCATCTCCATAAGTATGGCTGAGGGTGTCTCGAAAATTGAGAATTGATTTTTTCTCCCAACTGAAAAGAATGAATTCATCTTTTAAGTCTGTAACCACCTTTCAGCCATCTGGTGGTCACAGAATTGGTGAAGGTTGAAGGTGTTAGAGAGCAGGCACTTTTGTTTAAGGGCTTTGAGACCAGTAAGTCAACAAAAACTTACTGTTTGCCATGTATATGTCTAGTCCTGGGGAGAGGGTGGTGAGGACAGATCTGCCTCCAAGAGGCTCCCACTCTAACGGGTGAGAGGTAGAAAATGATTCCATAAAAGCATGACAAGTACATTTAAACACAGTGAAATGATAAACTGGAGAGTGTGGAATGTGATGGACGGTCAGCCATGCTGCAGCATATGCTCCGAGAAAGGAAGCAACATTTCGGTTGAGAATGGAATGATGGGGAAGCAGCGATGAACAGATTGTAACAGGGGTGTTCCAGATGGGAGGACACAGGTGCAGAACTTCAGAAAGCAGAGCAAGCCTGGTGTTTAAGAGAAAGAAAGAAGGCCATGGTACCTGCAGGTTAACCAACAAGACAAAAGAAGGAAGTGATTTTGAAGACATAAGTGGAGGCCAAATCACACAGAGCTCCCCAAGCCGGGCTAAGCAGTTCAAACTTCATTCTAAGTGTAATGAGAAGCCATTAAGGAACGATTGTAAGCTGAGACATGCTGGTATTAAATCGTAGCTTTGATATTTATTAGTCATGGGATCTTCGCAAGTTACTTAAATTTTTGGGGCGTGACCCTCTCATTTGTAAAGTGGGGATGATAAAAGCTCCTCACGTGGTGGGTGGCAAGATTTTATGCAAACGCAATTTGGTGGCAGGTACACAGTAAGCTGTGAGCATGAACACTGCAAGCAAAGATTCTTTTCTCCTTCAAGCCACAGATTCCAAATAAATGACACATAGAAGGAAAACATACAAAGAAAATGATCTTACACAGTGAAAGAAGCAAAAAAAATATGTCACTCCATTCAGCTCTTTCAGTATTTTGCTATGCCTTTAAGAATTCTATAGTCTACCAGGGGTTAGCAAACTAATAGCCCGTGGGTCAATTCTGCATCCGTCATTGAAATGACAATGGTTTGTACATTTTTAGATGTTTGAAAAAACATGTATATTTTTAGATGTTTGAAAAAAAATTTAAAAATCCAAATCTAAATAAATTTTATAAAGCGAGTTCTACTGGAATACAGCCACACCCATTCTGTTACATATTGTCTGCGGCTGCTTCACACTGCAATGGTAGACTTGAACAGTTGTAACAGAGACCATATGGCCTGCAAAGCTTAAAAGATTTATCATACGGCCCTTTAGAGAAAAAGTTTGATGACCCCTAATCTAGTCTACCTATAATCTAAGTTACCCTGAAGGAAAAATTTAAAACATCTCATTCTCTATTCACTTGCTGAGCTATTACAATTGAATAAAATATGGTTTCTATATTTTAGAAAGAATAGGGGCTAAAGCAGATACTGCTTGATATCATTTCCATGACCTATTTTCAAAAATAAACAGCAGTAATGTTTATGCAAAAGTCAAATGTTTACCTTTACTGATGCTTCCCCATCCGGTCACAACACAGATCTCCAAGGAAAACAAAGGCTCTGGGCCCTGTGGGAGACACACCGGCCTCACCACTGAGTTGTACTCCAAAGGAGAGTTCAGCTGTATGAGGGCAATGTCAGAGTCATAGTTTAGAATATTAAAGTCTTCATGCACCACTATGCGTTTGGCCCTTCTCACCTGTATCAGTGGCAAGCAAGTGCATTTTAAGATAAGAAAGCCAAAGAATCAAGCAATTTCCTTGCATAAAAGTTCAAAGTAATCCTAAATCTCTGCATTTACATACATCAACAAAGAAGATGACTTTGCACTAAATTCAAAAGAGCAATCTTGGTTTATAATTTGCAGGAGGCCATGAACCACCTTCTGAGAAGTGGTGGGCCTAGAAAAACCAAACCATGTGGACTTGTGCACATGAACCTGAATTTGCATTTCCTGACCTACTTCACCTAATTCTCAAATTAAAATGTGACCTAAAATTGCATCTTTAATTGTGGTATAAATAAGCAGAAAGGGGCAGTAAGAGATTATTAACTAATTACATATCTCAACTAACAGTATTCCCTGGCATGTGACAACATTTAGAGTACAGGCAGAATGACCTTTAAAAACATTTCTCACTTGCTCAGTTGATTCCTTCAGGGTTCTATCATGGTCCCCAGCAATAATAGTCCAAAAGAGTGGATTATTTTTCCTAGAGAAAGAAAAGGTTGACATGAAAATATTTTTTATATTTTGGTCTAATGCCTTCTGGCTCTACCATCACGCACGGTTCAGTTTAGCCAGGTGACACCCACTCCCCTGTCTGAGTGCCTCTGTGATCTCCCTACCAGGGAGGCCGCTCTTGGCCTCCTGATCTGCAAGATTCCTTATGGATCTTGCTCCCTTCTTTTGGCCATAAAATGTCCCTGAATCCCTCACCAAATGTCACCAAAGGATTTTTATAAGTTGAGAAGGAAAAAAAGAAAATTTAAAGGTTAATTTCAGTGATATGAATATGTAAAAAAAAGTTACATTCATAACAAGGTAGCTTCTGGTCTATGTTTTACTGTTTAAATCACCCCAGCATTATCTCACAGGGCTGTATCTTAAAGAATCATCTTTTATCAAGTCATCAGAATTAACAAAACTGAGGGTATAAAAAATTTACCAGCTCAAAAATAGGCAAAGCTCACCCATGCTGTTAGATATCAGGGTGCTGATTACTTTTAGGGGAATGATGACTGGAGGCGAATGGGGTGGCTGCTGGGTGTTGGGTCTCAGTAATATGGTAGTTTTGGTCTTGATCTGGGTGCTGGTTATGTGAGTGTTCCCTTTGTGAAAATTCTTGCATACTTTTGATATACTTCAAAAAGATGCTAGAAAACTTGAGTCACATCCATCAGTTGGCCATATCAAAATCTCCCGTTCAAAAAATATTTGAGGAAAGAGTCCCTCAATTGCTACAAATATATTGTCACTTCTGCTTGGAGACTTAAGTCACCCATTTTTTTCAAAACTGTTTCTTCAGAAAAAGTTATTGAAATTATTTTTCAATACACCTTATTCAAAGGAGAAGTTTTTTAATACACGTAGGCATCGCCTTCCTACTCACAATCATGCTCATTTCAATTCCTGGCATGATGAGTTTGACTTATTCATGTGTTTCAATATGCCTTTATTAAGGGAGTGAACTCAGGCAAAGTGCTTGGCAAGTACCTTGCAGATGGTAATGACTCCATAATGGTAGCCATTATCATTATTATTATCTGCCATGCACTCTAATGGAAGGATTGAACTTTATTTTCAAAGTCATCCTCCAAATTATTACTTGGTAGTGAAAAAACATTTCTTAAAGCTACTCTACTACTTTACATAGAAGATAACATACTCAATACAATGAAATAAAAATCATAGTCAAGTTGATAATATAGATCATAATTTCTAGTGAAGTCTTATGTATACAATCATCAGATATCCTTCAATTTAGGAGAGAACACTAAAAAGCATATAATGACGCAACATACACTTTATGATGCAACAAAGCCTAGGATTTTACATATAGTGGGATAATAGTTCAAGGTCTCAATTAATGGATTTCTTCACCCTTTCTTCCCACTTTCCCATAATCAAGTTTCATCTATTACATTCTGAGAGACTTATTCCCAACTCAACAATGGGACACGTGTCACTCACTGCTATGGGAGAAGAATGAGCCACTACTGAATTACAGAAAGTGGCTGAAGTTGAAAAAGCTGATTTAGGTTTGAGACAGATTCTGATTTATAATTGCAAAGTGAATTTGGTCTCCTAAAGTAAGTTAAAAGTCCCACATGAGCACAAAGACCAGTATGGATTTCGAAAGAAGAGAACACCAGGTTTTCCCTACATGTGGGACATCACCACCAGGGAGCTAGGGAAATACAAAAGAATCAGAAACCCTCCGGGTGATTCTGGTGTGTGCTAAAGTTTAAGAATTAATACCAAGGGTAACCAGTGCTAGGGAAGCTATGCAGGAGGTGGTACAATGTCGCTGTCAGCTCTCATTATTTGGAGCACTCTCAGATGATGTCAGCCAGTCTCGCCTTTAGTGACCTTCAGCAAAAATGAAGTCTGTCTCAGCTTCCTGATTTTTAATTTAAAATATTTTTTATTAATTTTTTATTGATGTATAATATATATTTATGGGGTATATGTGGTATTTTGTTACATGGCATAGAATGCATAATGATTAAGTCAGAGTACTTGGGGTATCCATCACCTTGAGTATTTATCATTTCTATGTGTTGGGACTATTTCAAGTTCTCTTCTAGCTATTTTAAAACACACAATATGTTATTGCTAAATTCTAGTCACCCTACTCTGCTGTTGAACATTAGAAATCACACCTTCTACCTAAGTGTATAATTGTAGCCATTGATCAACCTCTCTTTGCCCCCTCATCCCCACCCCACACCCCCCTTCCTAGCCTTTGGCATCTATCTATGCATATGAGTACATGCAAAATTTGTCTGTGTCCAGCTTGTTTCGCTCAATTCCAATTCCATTCATGTTGCTGCAAATGACATGATTTCATTCTTTTTTATGGCTGAATACTATGCCATTATATATACATACCACATTATATTTATCCTTTTGTCTGCTGATAGACACTTAGGTTGAGTCCATATCTTCGCTGTTGTGAATAGTGCTGTGATAAATACAGGAGTGCAGGTATCCCTTTGATATACTGATTTCTTTTCCTTTCAACAGATACCCAGTAGTGGAATTGCTGGATCATATGGTAGTTCTATTTTCAGTTTTTGGAGAAATCTCCATATTGGTTTTCATATAGTGGCTGTATTAAATTCTCACCAATAATGTATAAGAGTTCCCTTTTCTCCAGATCCTCACCAGCAGCTGTTATTTTTTGCCTTTTTAATAATAGCCATTCTAACTGGAGTAAGATGATATCTCAATGTGGTTTTTATTTACATATCCTTGATGATTAGTGAGGTTGAACATTTTTTCATATATCCATTGGCCATTTGTAAGTCTTTTTAGAAATATCTATCGATGTCCTTTGCCCGCATTTTAATGAGATTATTTGTTTTTTTTTTAATGTTGAATTGAATTCCTTGTATATTCTGCATATTAGTCCCTAACAGGAAGAATAGTTTGCAAATATTTTCTCCCATTCAACAGTTTGTCTCTTCACTCTTTTTTTCTTTGTTGTGCAGAAGCTTTTTCATTTAATATAGTACTATTTGTCTATTTTTGTTATCTGTGCTTTTGAGGTGTTAACCTTAAAATCTTTGCCTAGACCAATGTCCAGAAGTGTTTTCTATGTTTTCTTCTAAATTTGATTAACTTTTTCCTCACTGATATTGTTTAAATAGAGGCTAGATGGCTATGAAAAATAACACTTAAAGGAAGATTCTCACCTTAGAACCAGTCTGGGTGATCTTAGTAGTTGGACAGTTATCCCTGTGTCGTAGGCATTGCCTATAAACACATGTGCTAAACAGATAAGAAAAATATCATTTTCACTCACAATTGCACACAGTGGGCTGCAGTCAGAATCCAAGTCGGCCTGACGATGGCACCTCCGCACTGGTGATCTCCTAGAAACCTTAGACCCACCTGCCATGGCCAACAGTGGGGGCAGGCTTCTTCCCCTCCTGCAATTCTTCTGAAAAGCCACTGGGGACTAAATGGAGGAATGCCACAAACACCTACAGCAAAGATGAAACCAATGACACAACCAGCTGAAATGATTAAGAACACACTCCTCCAAAGGCTTGTCATAGTCAGCAATGGTAATTCCCAAGCTCAGATGAGCTTTATAAAGACATTAGCTCCCAAGACCCACCTCTGAGGAATCTGATTTTAAAAAGCCAGGTGACTATGCTAGGCAATCAGAATTTTAGTCACCTACAGAATAATATTTATTTATTCACTCAACACTTATTTAGTACTTACTATTTGCTAGGCACTATTATGGACATTGGTGATGTTAGTGAATAGAGCAAATAAAAGTGTCAGTCTTCATGGAAGTTACATTCCAGTAGGAAAATTTCACGTTTGTTAGCAATGAATCTACAAGACTCTTCATTATACATCCTCGTTTTACTTTCTGTTCTCACTGTATGAAACCATTCATCAATCCTCAAACATGTCAAATTTGCTTATGCATCTAAATGCCGTTCTCCTGTCTGAAATACTAGGACTCAGCTCAAGCGCTATCTTTTCCATGAAGCCTTCTCCAACCGCCCAGTAAGAGGCAGACATTTTCTCCTGTTATAGTTCCTCATGCAACTTTCTATTACAGTCCATCAACTTGCACATATTCAATACATGCAGGCAGAACAATGGAAGATCGTAGTATTTAGTATTTAACGAGATGCTTTAGAGCGAAAAGAAGTTAAAAAGATGCCAGTATGAGTTTAAAAAAAATATTAAAAAAATACACAAAAAACCACACAACCAAAAAACTTTGTTTTCCTCCTCTGCTCCACAATGCATACTCATATTAAACACAGACTCTAGAAAGTCATTTTAGATATTAATTTTGTACAGGGAGAGATGAGGACAAAGGATTGCTCTTGTAGTCCTTTCTTCCTATCAAAAAGCTTATTTGTTCTTCCCTCTATTTATGAGCCTAAATGTAAACCCAAACAAGATTCTGGAAGTTTTATAGACCTAGGGATAAGAATCATTTGTCTTCACTGCGGAGTTATATCAAATACAAGATGAGGATTTCCAAAAGAGACATCTAGTTAATGAAGAAAGGAAATTAAACATATAGTAACAACATGGCCATCAACTCACCATATGGAATTGCTTTTGCAGCAGATACAGGATTGGTTTTGGGAGGTGATGTTGGTTCAATTTTATTTGAAGTGTCTATAGAAGAAAAATTTTTAATTGAAAATATTAAGAGTAGCCACACTAACTGACCCTACTTGTTTACCCTGGTCAATCATTAAACCACTCCACTGTAGATCTCACTACCATCACCATTCATATGCTAGATGCCAGATCCCATAGATGCATTTATTATATAGCTCTTAATATCACTGTTGCATCTGGCTCTTTTAAGCACTTCCTCCTTCCTTGGCTTCATGACATTACTCTTGGTTTTCTTGATCTATGCTTGGCCGCTTCTTCTCAATAGCAGTTTTTTTTCTTTTTTCTTTTTTCAAGATCCTGTTCTTCAGCCTGAAAAGATATTCCTCAAGGTACTGTTCATCACCCTATTTTTATTCATCTACATGTAGATGATTTCAAGATTTCTCTCTTCAATCTAAATCTTTTTTCTGAATTCTAGACCTAGGACTGCTAGATATCTCCATTAGGATTTCCCACAAGCTCATAAAGATCCACGTGTGTCAAATGGAATCGCACTATTTTAATAGTCAACATTGTCTCATTTTTATGTTTCCTTATATCATGTAATGGCTCCACCATCTACCTAACCACTCAAGCTAGCATCCTGAAAGTCATTCTGGACTTTTTTTCCTTCCTATACTCCGTCCCACAACATATATAATCAAATACATCTACAGTAAATTTTTTACAATGACTTCCTCACTGCTCTCCTTGCATGTAAGTTCACCCATATTTTCCATATTACTCTAGAGTAAGAGAAACCTAGGTTTGAATTCTGGCTCCACCTCTGCCAACCGTACATTTTTGGGAAAGTTAGTTAATTTCACTAAGCCTCAGTTCCCTTCTCTATAAAAGGAGAGCAGCTCACATACCTCCTAGATGTGTAAGGGGGAATATATGCAATAATACATGTGAGATGCTCAGTCTATACCTGCTATGGAGCAAGAAATCAACAGATGTTAGCTAGCTATCCTATCACTCCGGTACTTATAGTTTAATGCCTTGTGCTCAACATGATCTGACTCCTGCCTTTTCTATCATTCCCTCTAAAACTCAAACAATGTTATTTGTAGTTTTCTTATATATCATCCATTCTCTTTCATTGGGGTCTTTGCATATGATATTCTTTTTGTCTGGGTAAAGTACATTGTATCTTCTAGAGTGCCAAGAAAACTACTAATTCAAAATCCTTTAACATTCTAAAACAGAGCCAATCTCATTTCTGAATTGCATTCTCTTATCTGAATCTCTACTTTTCATATATGGTTCTTGGAAATTTTTTTTTATGTTCTAGTAGATGCAGTTTCTGGAGCATGACCCTGAGATGCTTGGTAAAACACAGATTCCTGGGCCCCATCCAAGATCTACAGAATCTATTATAATAGATCTCTAGGAGTGAGCCTAGGAATATGCATTTTATGTTACCAAGGTGATTCAAACACCCTACATTTAGGTAAACATGGCTAAATTATCTTCCCTATAACTGTTTTTATAAGCAAAAGTCCCTATTATACAAGTGTTCATACCCACCTGAGGGCAAAAAGGTGATTCTAGCTTTGAAGCCTCAATATTATTTTCACCATCATTTTTAAAATGTATCACCATCATGTTACTAGGACTGAATAGTGGAGTGATGTTCAAGATTCCACAAAGTTTAGCTGAGAAATTTTAGGAAAGTTTGATTCATAGTGACAAATTTTTTTAAAAAAAGCCAGAACAGAGAGGTAAAATACAGCCTGAGTAATTTTTTAATCAGCAATTTTGGCTTTCTCCAAATTTTATTTGTAAGCACAGCCTTACAACTCGTGTGGGAATTAAACATTAGTTTCACAGTAACAGTGCACTGCAATTTTATCTCACAGTAAAATCTCTATAAATAGGGTAAAGAGATCTAAATTCTAATATGCACAAAAACCTCAACTGATTATTAATTTGTAGACAATGAGAAGAGAAGAAGTAGGTAAAAAAAATACACTCGAGTTTTTAAAGTCAGGTCTTAAAATTAATTGTAAGACTCAAGCAGAAATTATAGCTTTTGGTTATTTTTCTTGGATACAAACATCAGAATACCATCAATGAAGGAATTAACACAGAAAGGAGAAAGTTTACAAGTTATCTTAAATAACTGTTAAAAATTTACTGTTACTATTTTACCCTTTCTTTGGGGACTTCCTTTCCATTTTTCAAAAAGCATGAAGCATTCTTCATATTTTTCATGTTTTTATTAAAAACTTTACTGGTGAATCAATTACTGACTCACAGATTTTAAAGCTAAAGTTTTATGGCACCATGAGTTTCCAGTGCAAGAAATTCACATCCCCACACTACCTCAGGGTACCCAAGGAAGCTGCCCAATGCTGCATCTACTCCAGTTAATCTAAAGCTTTCCAAATTTAAAGGACAGAACATTGCCCACCTAACTCGTCTTCTTCTTTGAAATCACCATAAATCACAATAGCATCATAAACAGGGTTTGGATTAAATTCAACAGTAAAGTCCTCAAATGTCAACTGTACAAATTATAAACATAACAGAGAAGTGGTCAAGGAAGAGAAGTGAAGTTTAGAAAGTTTCCTGTGTACATTTAAAGGTTCTGTCACACCCTTGCATACCTTCAGATAGAAGTGTAAATAATTGCAGTCTTTTCTGAGGGCAACTTGGCAATGACTGCCAGGTTTAAATGCACAACCCCTTTGGCCCAGCAAGTCCAATTCTGGGAATTATATATATCCACGTGTCCATAAACAGTGATACAGGGATTTTGAGGGCACATTGCTGGTATGGCAAAGACTAGAAACTCACTAAGCATCTATTAATAGGAAACTGGTTTAATAAATCAAAAACATCAGACGATATTTTATGCAGTCATTAAAAAGAGCTCTGTAGGACCATCTGGAAGGATCTTTGAGATACTTTACAGTGGACAAAGCATTGCCAAGCAACGTAAGTATATACGTGTTAGTAAATGCTCAGAATACCTCTCTAGGGGTACTGTAGTAATTAATCAGTGTTTCCCTCCAGGGCATAGGATGGGAATCTGATGAGAAGGGGCCTTACTTTTCACTGTATACACTCTAAACCACTGAAATCTTTAGGATCACACACACAGATCCCTTCTGAGAGTAAAAAATGACAACAAGCAGCTTCTCATCATCATGGCAATTTAACAATCCAGATGAATTAAGTTCTGTTTAACTAATATAGCTAAGTTCTCTGTGAAGTGGACAGATTCCTCAGCTGCCCACCTTTATAATGTGTTTCTTTGGAGCATGCATGAACCGATGACACTGTACATTGTTGGGATACGAGTCAGGACAATTGGCAGAGTGAATTGTCCCTTCTTCTGCCAATACAGCCACACTCCAATAACCCGAACCTGTGCAAGTATTGAGGAAATTCAGTGAATGGCCAAGGAATTTCCTCTTCCTCATCCCCACATCGTGGAAAAACAGCAGGGAATTAGTACCTGAAATACCTGCTTCTGAATTCTGTACAGCAGTAAAAGTAAGCTCAAATCCAATGCCCCCGTTTTCTGTATCAGAAACAAATGTACCTGTGGCCTTAGTGGTCTCTGTCAGCAATGGTGAGGGCAGCGGATCTCCACAGACCTTACCTGAAAAGGAAAAGAATGGAAATAACATGACTAAAAAGCGGTAGAAACTTGCATGTGTTTATTTTTCTAATATTATCTTCCACGAGCTCTCTGTTCTAAACAGGCCAAACTATCCAGTGGCCCCTTTGATCAGGCCATAACCTCCGCTTCAGTGGTTTTGCTCTCCCATTCACCTTCTCGCTCCCAGTCTCACGTGTCCAGGGCTTAACTCAAAGTTCAGTTCTCCCAACAGCTCTCCCAGACACCGACTGGAAATAAGAACTATCTTTTCTTGAATCAACACAGCACATTCCCAACTCTATGTCATTTCCTACTTTATCACACACCTTTAGTTACCTCAAACTACAAGCTCATTTGGGCAGAGACTGCCTTTTCTCTATAAATGTCTAGTACCTGGTATGGTACCCTCCGACATAATTTTTAACAAATGATTGGTTGTAAAAAATGATTGCTGGGTAAATAGCAGGATTGAGTATGAAATCATTTAGTCAATCAATATTATAACTCCTAGCATGATACTTTGTCTATGGCATCCTATCATATGTGTGAAGAGACATTTGTCCTAACCATTGGCCATATGGAGACTTAGAGATCAAGGTGTACGTCAGCCATGGAGATCTTCTATCATGTTTAACAAATAATGTTTTGAATACGATAGATACATCAATTATGTCTGCATAGCTTATAAGAGGTATTTAATAAAAAGAAGTTTAATGATATGAAATGATCTATGGGGTCATGAGAAAAAATTATGAAACAATGTAAAGTTCAAAGTGTGTATGTAAATGTATATACATCAAAATGTAAACTGGTTAATCTCCAAGTGGTAGGGTTATGAATGGCTTACATTTTCTTTTTGCTCATATGTATTTACCAAATTTGATAAACATGCACCCCCTTTGGTGATAAAAATTTTAAAAAATGCCTTGAAAGGAAGTTTTCTGGCAATTATGTCATCAATTTCATTCAATACTGTTATCGTACTTGAGAAAAGAATGTGATATTTTGTGCCTAACTTAGAAAAACGCCAAAGAGAATGGTGTCTTTCACTGTCTCCACTCTTACCAACCCCCCCACACTGTATGTAAGATGAAATGATTGCCCTGTGTGCCAAAATCTCATTTTAGATCTTTTAGTGTGTCTTTGGTCTTTTAGATACTCCAATAAAAATAAATGTAACATACTTACTAATTAGCACTCCATTGCTTGATTGTAAAGATACAAAGTCGTGATCACACCCAACTTGATTTTCTATGTCTAAATTTGTAAATTTTATCAGGATAATTTTATCTTGTGGTACCATTATTTTCCAGGTATATAAGCTGGGGTAGAGGAGGGTGGAGAAAATAAAATAAATGGCAGAGTCAAGTTTGACAAGTAAAATCTAATATATATATTTTCCAGCTCATAACTCACCAATAACAATATTTTACAGAATATTAAAAGACAAAAGGCTATGGAAATTTTCTTATGTGAGAAAAATTTGTTTGTGCTCAAATTGCTAACATTTATCTAACAAATAGAGGAGTATTAGAGAATGGCCAGAAACCACCCTTTAAATTTCATTTAGTTCTAAAATGCTAGAACTTTGATCTATAGATTGAAGAAACCCAAGATTCATCTAAATTATTAT